TGTCAGCTCATGATGAAATCCTCTGACCAATCAAACAAAATCCCTACAAAACGCATTTTTGAAAATTATCTGATATTTATTCTTATGTTATGTTAATGCAAATTTTCTCTCTCTTACTGATGCTTTTGAAATGTCATCTGTCGATACTCCTGATTCAATGTAATTTAGAACAGCATTAATATTGTTATTACCAATAATTCTTTGATTACTGACTTTCATACAAATGTAGAATTGGTGACGAACTAATCGAAAAGTATAATTTTCTTTCTTCATTAATGAATCTTTTAAATTTTTTAATGAAAATTTTCAACTAAACTTTTTTAAAAATGCTGCCTGTAGACGATTTTGCACAGTGTATGTTGCTAATACACACCTACTTCATTCACTGAAATAGTCTGATAAGCAAGAAAATATGCTAGTTTATTGATATCATTAATAATAATAATAATTTGCTTTATTCCATAAACAGTACTTGTGATACAGAATGGAATTCTCAGCATTTTTACTACAGTATTGCATCCACTTAGTACATTATCAATAAATAAAATTCTACATAGATTAAGGAAACCACAGTTCATTATTACAACAACACATTGGCATGTCGGTAGCAAAGGTAAAGCTGAACAGTGTTTGAAGGTGTTAGAAAAGTAGGAGCTGTCATATTTACTGGCGTAAGCGAGAGAAAGAAACAAAGCAGCACATAACGGAAAAGAGAGAAAGAAAATTTTGTACCTATTGATGATGTGAGTTGGAAAGACGAGATCCAATTGTTCTACTGACTATTTAATGAATTATAGGTGTCACGCCTAATGCTTTCTTTATCGCACAGAACACGAGCTAAGTAGGGTATGGTTGAGTTTTTGTACTTGCTGGTGCGAGCATATAGTTTTCTATATAGGCTTCTGGTTTTGCCTGATGAGATGCAAGGGGAGAGTTGTGAGTGAAGAGGGTGGTGTGAGTTAGATAAAATGGATTTGGCCCATTTTTCACATGAGTCCATGTGCCTGTCAACCAGAATATTAACAAGCTGGTTAAGTGGCACGTTGCTTACCCTGCTGACAACCTTTAACATCCTGCGTAATATGTTATAGTCTTTCTTCAGTAGCCCTGGAAAAACTAAGGGGGAACAATACAGAATAATAGGCAGGATGCGAGAGTTAGCGAATTGTAGGAGTAAGGGTTGGGTTATACCAGAATGTCATAACTTCTTGATGTAAAAGGTAAGACGGAATATTTTCTTAGAAATCGTCAAGATATGAGACGACCACGAGAGATTAGCAGATAGAATGACGCCTAGGTATTTAATTTCTGACTTGGTTTCTATTTCAGTGCCATAGAACCAAGTCAGAAATTAAATACATAGGCGTCATTCTATCTATCATTGATAAAGGATCTTTTCTGACGGTGTGTTTATTCATGAATATGTTGTCTTCACAGAAAATGTAGTTTGTTTGTCTTTAAAACAAACAACAAAGTTTAATAAAGCATGAATTAATGAATTCATCAAATTTCAGTAGTACCCTTCAGCTGAATACTCTACATACTGCAATTTATACACTATTGAGAATACGCTGGGAGATATATGTCTGATGAGTAAATGAACTATATTGAATCAGTCATGCAAAACAATTGGTGTGAATGTTTTACAGGTCAAGCTGGGATTGATAAATGGGAAGTGGGTATGAGAGCTTAAAATTAAGCGAAATAATGGACTATGGTTCAGTTATCAAAGAAAGAACTTGAAAATGTCAGGAACTGTAAAACTGAATACCAATAATAATAATAAAAGTAATAATGAAGCGAGTTAAAATAATGGTGCTAACAAAAGATAAGAGTAAGACTAAGAGATGGAGTAAAATATATAAATGATAATAACAGTAAATCAGTAAAAGATTTTAACTTGGTAGACTTAAAGTAACCACAATTTATTTATATCAACAGAGACCACTTTTATGAACTCTAGTTGCATTTTTTTTTCTTCACGTTCCCCAGTGGAACATAGGGCTTCAAACTAGTGACTTGAAGTTTCTGTAGCAGTGTTTATTTTTACAGGATGGGGTTGCTAGTCTCATGCCCAACCTTTCCTCTTCACCAGCATTAATTCTGGCATCGCGGGGTAAAGGAGTGCGTTGGTGGCCGGGGATCGAACCCCGGAACATGCGCATGGTCGGCGAGCGTCCTAACCGCTATGCCACCGACGCACTAAAGCGCTCCCGCGCCGGGAATCGAACCCGGGCCGCCTGGGTGAGAGCCAGGCAATAGCATGCATCCTTCTGCTCGTTTGTCTTCCCGCTGACAACAGTTAATAACTTGACAGCGTCTAGATCATGTTCCTAGACTACAAAATGTCTTGCTATTGCAAATTTTAGTGCCCGAATTTCAGCTTTTTTTCAATCACTTGGGCAAATACTCTATCACGTGAGTAGACAATCAACTTTCCAGACGACCTATGTATTTGCTTGAACCAACACACTCAAACTGATATATGGAGTTTGAAGGGTTGAGGAGTGGCTATCAGTCCTTCCCAGATTGTTGAAATACTCGCTTGGTGGTGTTAAGGTACACAAGCTTTACAGAATAACAGCTTTATCAAGTTTTCGTCTAACTGCTTCTTGTACGTCATTTCTTTCAAGTGAAAGACTGATATATGCACCTTTCTTTGAAACGGTTTAGATAGTTTCATAGGCTTTTATTTTTTTAGAATATTTATTGACAAACCTCTCAGAATATCCATTATCAGATGAGATCTCTTTCAGGGTCTTTATTTCATATTGGATGACACTGACAGAACAAATCTTCTGTGCTCTATGGAACAATGTTCTCACTGGGTTCTTTTTATATTGGATAGGAACAAAACTTTTAAAATGCATATACTGTCCCATCCATGAAGACTTTCTAAATGTCGATCTCTCCTGCAGTCCTTTCACCTAGAGGAACATCGAAGAATTTAAAAATATCCTTTTCCTCATGCTCTATTATAAAGTTAAGATTGAGACAGCATGATTTGAATCTCACCAATAAATTCTCCACCTATGATTTACTTTTACACAGAATAAAAATCTCATCTACATATCTTAGCTATAATTCAGTCTGCTGTACATGCTGCCGCAAAATACCAGCTTCTATGTCTGACAAGAACAAGTCTTCACAAAGTGCCTATCTTTTCTTAATGCAATACATTTTCATTCATTCACATAACAATATACTGTTACTTGATTTAGAGTTTATAACACGTGATAGCTTAAAGTTCTGCTGGAATCCAGTTGTTGAACTTTGATTACAGGGTTTTTCACTGTACAAGTTTGTTGAAAAAACAGATACATAGACTGTGTTTTACTAAAAAACTTACTGTCGTTTTCTACATCTTGTGGTTTTGACGACTACAGGTCAAAATGCACATGAATGTCGGTGTTATTAGACACACGTAGCAGGAGAATTTTTAAATTGTGTCATCGTGGAGAGAATAAAAGATGTTCTACGACCACTGGAACAAATCACGTACTAATCAGATTACTGCTGGACGCATTATCATCAAACAAAGCATAGAATAGCAGTCAAACCTCTACCTCAACCTCCCCGACTTTGAGAATGCCTTCGACAGCCTTGATTGTGAAGTTATTTGAAAATTTCTTCAATGACACAGTGTCTCCCAAATCTTTATCGACCTCATTCAACAGGTATATGATGATGATATCATATTTAAAGTCATCCAAAATGCAAAACTCAACAAATTCTTTTCTAAAGTGTACACAGGAGTAAAACAAGACTGCCTGTCATACCCAGTGGTATTCCTAATCATGGTGGACTGGATTATGCGGTACACAATGAGTGGGGAGTGAGAAGACAGAAATACGTTGGTCCAATAAGAAGGGCTGTAGAAGTTCTGGACTTCACGGACGATTTATGTGTTATGTCACACAATCTCGAAGACCTACGGGCAAAAACCAACAAGCTGGCAGCAAAGACAGGAGTTCAAGTGAACACAGAGAAGACGGAGGTGCGGAAGATTCCTAACCAACAATACCAACAACAAGAAGTACTAATCACTATCAACGTGGGAAGTTTGAAATAGGTCACTTTCTCTACCAACTAGAATCGCAAAAGCAAGACAGACACTCATCACACTGAATTGAGTTTGAAAATCTACTGCACTCAGCATAAGGATTACAATTTGGATCCTCTAAAAGGCTCAGAATCTAACAGTGCACGTCACCAAAAGCGTTTCCAGTAGCCTGCTACAGACTTTTATCAACAGCTGCCTCCTTCTCTGGCTGGATCCATATTGAAGATCATATGGACGGAGAGAAAGAATTAGCAATGAGGAACTCTGGAAACAAACCAACTAAGAATCTATTGCTCAACAAATATCCTGGAGAAAATGGAGATGGATATGGCGAACGCTGAAGAGACTATCGAATGATATCACATTCAATACAGGCTGTTGAGTTGAACGCGAATGGGAAACAGCGAGTTGGGCATTCGTTCGAGGGTGACATGGAGGAGATTATTTGAGGAGGAGATGAGAGACTATGAGCAAAACTAAGGACCATCTGAAGAGGACTACAGAAAATAGGACGAATTGGAGATGTGCTGCTAAAGTCTTATGTCTTCTGTAAGAATACTGAATACCAGAACTGTGGATTAAATGACGAAGCAGGAAAATTGAAAATTCCTGAGGAAAACAACGCAAGAAACAACAAAGGAAGACAAAAGAACATGTGCAAATGGTGATTTTAATGTAAGGTATTATGTATTTTGCCATTAAACAATTTGACAACTAAATACCACACTGCGTTCTACTGTCATTTGTTGTAAATTACCATGACAAATCAAAATCGTATTTGTTTATGGAAAAAACAAACAAATATAAGACAGTTGGTCATTTCTTAATCGATAAGTATTAGTTATGTGTGTTATGTGTGTTTCATGTACTTGTCAATCAAACCAGTTAAGCTGAAATCATGCATATATAAACACATTTGTTCCACACACACACACATTTCACTTATTCTAAAGACCAAGTTACTCCTTGGTGTTCTAATGGATCTCAGACGATTTGGTAAACTATTCTGCTTGGTTGTATTGTGGAAAATTTGTTGCTGTGATGATGATGAAGGTAAGGTGAAGTGTTTCTTTTTCTTGGGATTTTTATCATACGATGATAGATTAATTTGTTTAATATATTTGTTATAATTTAGCTGATATTGTTGTTCAGCACAATTAGTAATTCATAAGTGCGTGAAGTGGTGACAACTAATGGTGTCCGTCAAGGATGTCCATCACTATCCCCATTTCTATTTAATTTCATCATAGATGTACACTAATGGACTTAACCCTAAGTGACTTCAGTGACTCAGGGATTGATTTGTTACCACCAGGGAATAATCTCGTTCACTTAGAATATGCGGAAGATATAGCCCTCCATCACTGGTTAAGACGCTGACAAAAACACAACAGAGTCTTCTGAACATCTTGAGCAACGATTTTCGAACGTTTCGCATACGATTCGCTTCTGTCAAATATAAGATGATGCTACAAGACTGACTAAACTTCATCGACTCCTAGCTTAAGGATAGGGAATAAAGTGATAGAGCGTGTTAACCACTTCACTTATTTGGGAAGTTGCATCAGCCAGCCCCAACGGTTTGATCGCTTACGAAATCTCAGAGCGGATACAGTAGACTCCATCTCTGGCTCACTAGACGTGACATGTGGCTGTCGACCAGAGGGTGTTTGTACTGCTCAGTAGTCCACTCCATCCTCCTTTATGGCTGTGAGACATGACTATTGAAAGTGGAAGACATGAAAAGCCCAACTAGTAGTCTTTGATCACAGGTGTCTGCATTCTATCTCCCGAGCAGTATTGAGGTTAGGCTTCGATCGAGTGTTAAGTAGGTAGGGAAAATCAATCAATGAGGCTGTGAAGCTACGTCGTTTAAGGCAGTTACGACATGTGTTGCTGAGCATGTCTGCGTGGCCATCGATTAGCTTCGTCGATGGTCAATGTTAGCTGATATAGGACTGGTCAGGTTGGAAGAGAGAGAGAGAGCTAGTGGTGGTTAAACCGAAACATGGAGGCATCCGTCAATGAAATCCATAACAGTTAGTTTAAGCCAGTAAGACACTGCTGCACATTGGTGCAAAGTTCTATGTTGAAATCAATCAGACAGTCAGTCAAGTGCGTGACGATATATACTACTGATTATTAGAGATGAATAGTTGGATGCCGCACTCAAATCAACCGGTAGTACTTGCTAGCCAGGTCGAAATGATCTCAACACCAGACCGCGTTCCGAATCAGAGTCCTGAGAAAAACAATAACAAAGCTTAACCTTGACGAACTCATCAACCAATCACACAGCAGACTTAACCTGAGCAAATACGATTCTCAGATATGTGGCCTAACTTTCTAAGAAACGGTCATAAGCAGTGCAGAATATAAACTTCAGCAAGAAAACAACCAATCAGAAGACGTTGCTTCTCTGCTAACAATAATGCTAATAATAATGTACATAAAAATCTATAGATATCTGTTGATTTTCTCAGTAAACGATCGGTTGCCTGGCCCTTGTCTTCTGTCGTTACAATATCAACCAGTAATGTTTGCTAGCCAGACTGAGGTGATCCAAACACCGGATGGCCGTTTCTCTCGTTTGGCACTGAGCTGACAATTGAGCTACGAGAGCCGAATCATTTTAAACTACCCGATATCTGGTTAGCTACTTGGTCAAACTGGTCATGCCAGAAATCGAATCTGTACAATTTGTATGCAATCTGTACAACTCAACTTTGAATTTTCTTGACAATGTAAAGTGAAGATATCGTAAAGATCATCTCCTTTCATGATACGGAATAGAAATTTATCTCATTTACATGACATGGAGGAGATCATATGAGGAGGAGATGAGAGACTAAGGGCAATGGTGGGGTCAGCCGAAGATTACCCCAGAGAATAGGACAAAGTGGATATGTTCTGTTGAAGCCATAAGTTCCACCTGGAACCCAAGGGAACATTAAGAACATAATAATATGTTTTGTAGGGATTTCGATTAATTTCGGTGCACATATCCTCACAAAACAAAACCAGTTTCTGTCAAGTTTGAGACACTTCGACAGTGTATACCGGCGATCCAATGAAGGATCAAACTGTGTACCTTAAGGTTGTGCGGTTATTGAATTCTGACCCAAGTGGCTAAATAGTTAACTAGCTGACCTCATAACCTTGAGGTCCTGGGTTCTACCTCAGGTGGGGTTGTGGATACACACTTCTGGAGAGTCTCAGACGAAGATGAAACCCCAGTACAGTACTACCTGGTTTTCAATGATTCTCTAACTGATTTTGCTATGTCAAGATACTTACTCTGTAAATCATTTTAATTATATTTAGCAGGCACGTCTTTTATTCCATTCATTCATTTCTCATTGCGTATTAAGTATATTCAAGCGACAGAGACTAGAAACACTTTGTGCTCGATATTACCAATAAGGGTGTGTACACTTTTTTTTGAGATATTTCTCTACTTCCTTTTACTAAGAATCTAGAAAGAATATTAAATAGTTCACTGGGGTAAACACATGAAAGTTTATATGAAAAAATTGAATTTTTGATGATTTGGTTGTTATGACTACATAGTTTAAATGAATGACTAATCATTACGAATCAATCTAATGTCTGCATATCTGAGGAAATCGTTGAAAAATTAATTAACTTTTATGTAACTGACTCTGAAGTTTATACATTTCTTTATTGTATTGAATCCCTGACTATATATTGAAATATATAAACGTGCCTATGAATGTATATTCGTCTATGTGTTCATGTAATCCATAAATGTGTATATATATTTAACGGGTTTAGTATAACTCGTTCACATCACTATGTTTTCAGAAAAATTTTACACACTATTCTTCTTGATTTCTCTTTGGAAATTGTACTTCTGCGATGAATATGAAGGTAGATGTGTGACTTCTTTTCCCCCGAATTTCTTTTTGTTTTTCACCAAAAATGATTAGCAAGGGTTAGCAACAGTGGTCAAGTTATGTGGTAAGTCTATTTAATTCACAAGGTGTTTTCTTGAAAAATCATATCAAAAATTAATTTGTCAGAAGATATTGCTACGCCTTTTCTAATGTGAAATGTTTCGTATACACCGCTTTGCATTCTCAGGGATTTTCATTCACGAATGTCTAGAGCAATAATACAAATCACTACAATTTCTTACATCATAATATTGTCTCCTTTTTAGACAAAAGGGTCAGATATGTCCTTCCTTGACTACATGTCTGCTTTTGTCTCTGTACCCGGATGCTTTCTAATAAATAAGCCTTCTCTGAAAAGAATCCACGCCTGGGCTTTTAAATGGTTGTATTCTTATTTCTCTAACAGAAGGCAGATCTTCTTCTGCTTTGTTTACTGAAGCTGGAGTCCTTCAGGGTGCTATCCTATCTCTCATTTTATTTTTTCTTACATGACTTACCTCTTTCGGATGAAATCGACTTCGTTAAATAAGCTGATGATCTGACTGTCCGCTGCAAGTAAATTCCAGATCTGACTGTTCCAAATGTAATAGCTTTTTGTCGGATATCAGGTAGTAAAATTTAAAATTTCAATGAAAATTAAAATTTTTCACAGGGAACGACAAGTGAATAGGTTAAGACCGCACACTTCCCAAACGCATCTCTGAACATTATCCGGCATAGTTAGCAAAAGTACAATTCAAGATAGTTAGTTACTAGCTCAGTCCTAGAGCACTTGGTGAACTCAAGCCACGTAGCTCCATCAGAGTCGTCTTTCAACATCATCTACAAGGTGAGGCCGAATGGGTCAAAGGGCGTCAGGTTTCGGCTTTTGTGTATGGCGGAGGCGTTGGCAATTCGTCAATACAACCCCGAACTCTGTATACAAAAAGAATTTGTCCAGTCTCATATTCTAACAAGGTCTTAACCTCTTCACTAGTCGTTCCCTGTAAAAAGTTTTAATTCTTTAAATTTTCAATTTTACTTTTCGTTTGCTTTTACTTTAATAATTAATTCACTATTATCACTCTCATATGTTTCTTTTTGTACATTTTCACACCCTCTTCACACATGTTAAATGGACACTCAACTACCTTTCTACTCACTCAATAGCAGTTTTAACCTTTTCTTCCTTTGTGCCATGTAGTGCTACGTAATTTACAACTTTTATTTCCACTTCTAAAGCCACTTCTGAGTAATTATATCAAATATGTCATCCCCTATTATTCAATAATAGACTATTATACATTTATGGTTAATTCTCCATTACTTTTCCTAACTTATTCGACATCCAGTTTAGTGTTATAGTGATACATATTGTCACTTACAGATGCATGTGACCTTTATTATAATTATTATTATTCCCTTAAGTTCCGTGTGGAATATAGGTCTTAAACAGCACATCTTCAATTTGCGCCCTTCTCTGCTGGTCCAACAATTGTTCATACTCTCTCACCTCCTCCTCATAGATTCTCCTCCATGTCACTCTCATATGAATGCCAAACTCGCTGCTTTCTATTCGGTTTCAACTTGACAGCTTGAATTGAGAGCGACATCATTCAGCAATCTCTATAGAAATTGTCCTATTCTTCTCCATTTTATTCAGCTAATTTGTTGATCAATATTATTCTTGGTTGGTTTGCTCCCAGAGTTCCTTACTGCTAATTCTTTTTCTCCATTCATCTGATCTTCAGTCTGGATCCAACCAGCGAAGAAGGCAGCTTTTGAAAAAAGTCTGTAGCAGGCTTCTGAAAATGCTTTTAATGACTTGCACTGTAAGGTTTTGACCCATATAAAAGAAATAAATGACTCAACATTGGTTTTCAAAATCGGAAACCCGTTCCTTGAGCTGAGTGTAGTGAATTTCCAAACCAAATTAAGAGTGATCAGCGTTAGTCTTGCTTTTCCAATTCTCGTTGGTTTTGAAATCCTCATTCGTGCTTTTACTTGTAGTTGAAACGATGCTGCCTGGTCAGATAAGTGGAAGAGGTGACCTATTTCAAATTCCTTCAGCTGATAGAGATTGATACTTGTTGCCGTTGTTGGTTAGTTGTCTTCATCACCTTCACCTTCTATGTTCACTCAGAGTCCTGTCTTCGCTGTAATCTATTGATATTATTTATTTGATATCAAATGAAATATCATTGTTGTCAGTAACAATATTTCCTGAAGTATTATGGACATATTCACGTAGATCATGATGAAGAAGTTATTGAAAGGGATATTCTTCGTCCATTAAACAATCTTTTAAAAATTTTAATGGGATTATTTAGTCAATAAAAATAACATAATATCCAAATGAACTGTCATCAAGATTTGACCGAATAGTTCTAAAATATTTGGGCGCCGAGTGAGAAGTAGACATTTGTAAAAAATTATATTTGTAAAATCTCAGCGAGATTGAAATGAGTAATTCCAACGTTTCGTTCGGAAATCTGGTCCGAACTTCTTCAGGGAAATTAATCGAAATTAACATAACAGAGGTTTATATATAAAAGGAACATCACTTGTTTTTAAAAACTTTGTTCAATCATGAGTCATTCAACAAGTATAATAAACAAAATTGTATGAGCTGTGATCAAAATTTGACCTCGGACTTACAAATATTGGTCTAACTTTGTTAAACACTTTAAACAGAGTGTGTATGTGTGTGTGTGGTTAAACAGTTGTAAAACATTTCTTAACGTCTCTATGAGTAGATATAGACAGTCGGGAATTTTGATCAAGTATTAATTATTAGCGATACATATCCATTTTTACTTATTAATAAAGATTTCCTATGCATCAGCTAACATCACGCCTTCATGTTTGTTCAAACTGTTAGTATCTAGAATTTTATGATTAGACGTATTTTCAAAATTATGGTGTTTAGGATTGGAGTTTAGTTTAAGCACCCTGTCGGACTTATTGCTTTGTCTTCTTTCTGAAGATTGAGCTGCTTTATTCGACCTACTGGAGTTGTCAGGTGACTCGACAGCTACGGATTTAGGATGTGCATTTTGTTGGAGACAACGGAGAGTGAAAACATGATGATTGTTCCAATTACACAGTTTCTTTGTTAATTTAATTCGATTGCAAAATAATTCAAATGAACTGTCGTCCGACAGGGTGCTTCTACTAAACTCTAATCCTAAACACCATAATTTTGAAAATACGTCTAATCATAAAATTCTAGATACCAACAGTGTGAACAGACATGAAGGCGTGATGTTAGCTGATGCATAGGAAACCTTTATTAATAAATAAAAATGGATATGTTTCATAAATTATTAATACTTGGTCAAAATTCTCGACTGTCCATATCTTCTTATGGAGAACTTAAGAAATGTTTTACAACTGTTTACCCACACACACATACACACACCAATATTTGTAAGTCCGAGGTCAAATTTTGATCACAGCTCATACAATTTTGTTTATTATACTTGTTGAATGACTCATGATTGGACAAAGTTTTTAAAAACAAGTGATGTTCCTTTTATATATAAACCTCTGTTATGTTAATTTCGATTAATTTCCCTGAAGAAGTTCGGACCAGATTTCCGAACGAAACGTTGGAATTACTCATTTCAATCTCTCTGAGACTTTACAAATATAATTTTTTTTACAAATAACATAATATCTGTGATAACTATGGATATTTAACAGACTTATTTGTGAATTTTGACTAAACACTGCAGTGGAGTTTTGAATAGCGCTCAGAACAAATACAGTCGTTCCAACGTTTTTATAGATGCAATGGCTAAAGCATGATAAGTTCAGTGTTCATTGATATCTTATTACCTTCACCTTCCTACCACACTTCTATCTATATTGTAATATTTCAGATGTATGTCTGTTGAAACCAGAACGAGGTCGTTGTCGTGCAGCTATTCGTTCATACTATTATGATTCAGCCTCTAATGAATGCAAGCAGTTCATTTATGGTGGATGTGGCGGTAATGGGAATCGATTCTCTACAATAAAGGCATGTGAAGATGAGTGTAAAGGTGAGTGTGTATTTCTACTGTCGGTTTGTAACAAAATTGACACTGAAATGAATCAACCTCTACTAAGCTCAGTGGTCTGCGAGCTCTCTGGCCTTGTAACCAGAAGGTCCTGAGTTCGAAACTCACTGGGTGCATACCGATGAGGAGTCCCAAACTGTGACGAAACAACTGTCCAGTACTCCCTGAAGGTTTTCCATTGGTTCTTTAACTGATGTCAGCTCATGGTGAAATCCTTCAGCCAATCAAACAAAATACCTATAAAGCCACTACTCGAAAAAAAATATCTAAATCTCTATGTGTAAATGTGGTCAAGTCCACTGATGCTTCAGGATCTTATGCTTTATCTCAACTACTTCTCTGATTCTGTTTCTCCATCATTCGATGCTGCTCAGTACTGATTTTGGGTGATTAGATCATTAACTTTGATATCGAAAAAAGTACTACTTCTTACATTTGTTATAAAGGACTACTGTATCAAGTATTGAAACTACTGTTCATCTAACAATGAAAGGCTCGAGCACCAAGCTTCCTTAACACATAACTACGTTTTCAAGTTAATCAGCACATTATTATTATTCCCTTGGGTTCCTAGTGGAACATAGGGCTTCGACTGCACGCCTCCACTTCCTTCTGTCTTCTGCTGTACTTTTCACCTGCATCCATGTTAATCCATACTGTTTCAACTCCTCTTCACACGATCTCCTCCATATCACCCTTGCACCGACGTCCCACTCGCCGCCTCCCTTTCGGGTTCCACTCGAGCATTGGCCTGACGCGCGATGTCATCCAGCGGCCTCCTCAGCGAGTGTCCAATCCATCTCCACTTTCTCCTGCATATTTGTTGAGCGATTGGTTCTTGTTTTGTTTGTTCCCATAGTTTCTTGTTGGTGATTCTTTCCGGCTATCTGATCTTCAGTATAGAGGGAAGACAGCTGTTGATAAAGGTCTGCAACAGGCTGTTGGAAATATTCTTTGTGACCCTCCAAGTTTCTGATCCGTATAGAAGAACTGACTGACTTGACGTTTGTATTGAAAATCCGAATTTTGTTGTTGATGCAGAGTGAAGAAGATTTCCAAATTGGTTTCAGGTTGATGAATGTGTTTCTCGCCTTCCCGATTCTCGCTCGATTTGACATCCTCGTCCGTTCCTCCTGTAGTTGAGACAATACTACCTAGATAAGTGAATGAAGTAACCTCTTTCAAATCCCTCCCGTTGATGGTGATTGGCGCTGGATGATGCTGTTGTTGTTGGTTGGTTGGTTATTTTCATAACCTCCGTCTTGTCTATGTTCACCTGGAGTCCTTCCTGTCTTTGCTGCTTCTTCGACCAGTTTGTCGGTTTTCGCTTGTAAGTCTTCGATTTTGTGTGACATCAATCATAAATCATCCACGCACGAAATCCAGGTCTTCTAGGTTCTTCACGTCGGTGTACGATATCCCTATCTTCTCGTTTCCCACTGTCTGACGCATAATCCAGTCCACCACAATTAAGAGAACGAAATCCGGTTTACCTAGGAATGAGCTAATCTAAGGTTATCTCAGTGTTAACATAACAATACTTAGTACCATTTTGGTTAAATTAATGGTATTTATTTGATATAGAAGTGAGTATTCTTGATGTGTAGTCCAAAAACACCGGCGCATAGAAAGTCATAAACATTTCGTTACTACCTATTGAGTTAACAGTTCATGCAAGGTTTATCTTTACCAGATAGGTAAATGAGCATGTATCCGTTAACAGGAAGCCTATATATATATATATTCAAAAGGGGACATACCACGTGAAATAATTATCAACAATTTGAGTGAATAAATTTAAAGAACATTTAATATCGGAAAGCTCCAGTTTATATTCTCCACACAACCTATCGTGATTGCGAAACTGGTAGGTGATGTACGTAGGCTAGCCACCTCTAATTATATTTATTAAATTCAACTACTCCTTGTGTACAGCAGCCAGTTATATAGGCTGTTGCTCTAGGAACCTAACTTTTCATCCCCTGGAAAAACGCCTACCTAACAGTGTGGTTAAATAAAGGTGCTGTAAAAACTTTGAACAGTTCTCACACTGGACCACCTTGTTCAAACAGGCCCAAAAGCTAACATTAAAGGATCTTTGCTTATCATCTGTTACGTATCAGATAAATTACCAAAGGCCTCTAGGTACCAAGCACTCCAGATAGGAGAGGTCATTGCAATTGGCCTAAATCAACTGGAGCTCCGTGTGTGCAGAAGAGACATATCTAATCGCTACTGTGGAGCCTACAAGTCAATTCCCATAAATTATCTGATATTTTTGGTTGGAGGACTTCATCATGAGCTGAAATCAGTTAGAGAGTCATTGGAAAACCTGCAGGGAGTACTAGACTGCTGTTTCACCATAGTTTAGGAATCTACTGCAGTACGCACCTACCAACAGCGTTCGAACCCAGGACCTTCTAGTTACAAGGTCAGTGAGCTCGTAGACGAATAATTCACTGGGACCCGATCCAATGACCAGTGGATTAATGGTCTACGAGCTCGCTGACCTTGTAACTAGAAGGTCCTGAGTTCGAACCCTGGTGGATGCTCACAGCTTAAGAGTCCCTAGGTAGAACGAAACAGCTGTCCAGTACTTCCTGAAGGTTTTCCAATCATCCTCTAACTGATGTCAGCTCATAATGAAATCCTTCAATCAATCAAACAAAATCCCTACAAAACCCATATTTGAACATTATCTGATGTTTATTCTAATGTTATGTTAATGCACATTATCCTTCTCTTACTGATGCTTTTGAAATGTATTCCCCGCGATACTATTGATTCAATGTAATTTAGAACAGCATTAATGTGGTTAATAACGATAACTCTTTAATTATTACTTTCATTATAAATGTAGAATTGATGACAAATTAATCGAAAAGTAGAATATTCTTTGTTGATTAATGAGTCTTTTAACTTTTTTATGGACATCTTGAATGAATTAAAATGAATATTTATTAGTTTGTAGACTTTAACATTACCAGAATGCTTCAAATCCAACTGAATGTTGTATAAAGTATAGTTTTACTGACATAAATACTTATAGTGCATTCATCTGAGTCCGACTTATTAACCTGAACACCGCATAACATAGACATCGCATTAGTGGGTGGTGTGTCAGTGGCTCATTTGGGTAAAGACGGTGAAACATTCTGGTTAATAACCATTGTTGATGTCAGTGCTAAATCTTCAATTTTTTTATTACTTTTGAATTGAAAATAAAGGAGAGAATAGAGTAGAAGAACTGTTTGTCTAACTTTGTTCAAATCATTCTCAAACATTACACTCAACGATCTGAGTTCTCATCTCATAAGTTGCCATTTTATAACTGCCTAAAATGTAGAAATGTTTTAATAACATAAAAATTTCTTCAGCAGTTTGATAATTAAATGATTTTCTTAGTTTTTTTCATACAGCCGCAAAGATTTTAGAGCCAAAAATCAATAATTTGGCATAAGAGGTAGGCAGTGAAGACAGGACTTCAGATAGACATGGTGAATACAGAGATGATGAAGATAACCAACCAATAACAACAACAACATCAAGCACCAATCAATACCAGCGGGAGAAATTTGAAGGAAACCGTCTCTTTCACTTGTCTAGGAAACATCGTTTCATCTATAGCAGGCACGGATGAGGATGTCGAAGCCAGCCAGGATCGGAAAAGCAAGACAAGCCTTCATTAATCTGAAAACAGCGCGGAAATCTGCTGCGCTCACCAGATGGAACAAGATTGGTATTTTCAATACTAATTTCAAGTGAGTGATCGTACAGGGTTCGGAGACTTGCCGCGTTTCGAAAATCATTTCCAAAAGACCACTTCAAACTTTAATCAACAGGTGTCTACTGCTGAAGGACAGATACCCAGAAAGAATAATTAGGAATTAGGAACTCTGTGAATGAACCGACCAAGAGCCTATCACCCAGAAAATATGCAGAAGGAAAATGAGATGAATTGGGGACACGATGATGAGACTTTTGAGTCAGGCACTCAAATGGAAGCCGAATGGGAAGCTGTCAACGAGTTGGGAATCGGCTCGAGGGTGATATGATGGAATAGAGAGAGTTGTTTTAATGCATTCACTTCCCATGGTCTTCACAACACTTGAATGGTCTATTAAAGTATGTTCATGACTCATCGCACCCTATGTAATTATTTCACCTACATGGAACACATTATGTGAAAAGGAAATGAAGAGTTTTGGGGAATAGTAGAACCAGCTAAAGGAGACTGCAAATAATAGAATGAGACGGAGATGTGCTGTTGAGTCCTTATGTTCCAATCGAAATAATAAATAATAGTAATTGAAATGCATTGATTACTGTGGTCACTATACAGAGATCCTATAGTCACTTCTACATACAGTTCAACTGCGTTGTATATTTCGATAATCTCACTGTGCTTTGTGTGTAAACGTTCAATTGGCGTTTAATAACTGTTCGTACTGTATTTGGACATTTCAGAAATATCAGGCTCAAACCATCAAACACTCTTTTGATGATATTAGATGGTTGGAGGCAATCGACAGGAAGCCGTGCTCGACCTAGGTTTCGTGCTAGTTGGCACTAACAAGTCATCAAGGCGCATCTAAAAACTTGAAGGAACTCATGTCCCTTCTGAAATTCGAACCGCGTCACTCAGTCCTGCAGTCAGAGCTACCTAAAATGGTGGCCACATAGCAAACCTAACTGGTAGAATTCAGTCTGCACCAAACAGCAAGGACTAGACACATCACACCAGTTACTGACTAGTGTTCAATCAAAGTACCAAACACACTGTTCAAAATAACTTCAGTTATGCAAGAAAATTCTGTGTAGCTTTCGACCTCTTAGCTTTTCTCTCGGTCGTCTGAAATTCAAATAACTCGCAACTGGCTGAACTACATCTGGTGTAAAGATGCAAGTTCAGTATTGTAAAAACCTCAAAATCGTTCAATATTTTATACTGAGTTATATAATAAGAAGCATAACTCCGCCTAACTCCATTTATCATTTTCTCTTTGAATATATATAAATTTTACAGATATTTGTCTCTTGAAGCCGGAACCTGGTATGTGCAGAGCTTATTTCCCTTCATTCTACTATGATCAAAGCTCTAATGAGTGCAAAAAATTTGTTTATGGAGGATGTGGTGGTAATGAAAATCGATTTACTTCAAAAGAGACCTGTGAGGAAACATGCAAACTTGATTAGATTTTGCATAGAGCTGAAAGAGGCATAATTCGATGTTGTTATATGCCATTTGCCTGGCTTATTTAAAGCATGTGTTCAAATAATTATACCTGTGATGATTTTGGTATTATCTAATCTATTTAATCTTTTTGGCATGTGTTGTCGCTTGTTAGTGTTGTGTTATTTGAGCTACACTTTCAATAAATAATCTAGAAATTTATTTTACTTTATGTGTTCTGAACATACCATAAAATATTTGATGTAATATGTACGCTTCTTTCATTCAACAAATACATCCTACAATGGATTTAAGTTAATTCTGGATGCCATGAATAATTCTCAGTCTAACACGTCGTTCAGCGAAGAGTTCAGATTACGAAAACTTGATTTTCTTTAACCGTACACTAGCATACATGGACAATCTTTTCGTAAAGGTGAATAGTAACGCAGTGATCAGTTATCATAAAAATAATTGCCAATATAATCAATACATGACAGAAGTTGAATAAGGGTAATGGAATTACGCAATAAGACAAATAATCTAATAAGTAGGTTGCATTCAGGCTGCACATACAAACGGAGGGAATTCTTTTTAGACAACTGGTTCCCTTTATTATTATTTCCTTTAATTCCTGGAGGAACATAGGGTTTCATTCACACGTCTCCATTGCGTTCGGTTCTCTGCTAACGTTTTCACCTGGCATCACGTCCGCCCACATGCTTTCATCTCCTCTTCACATGACCTCCTCCATGTCACCTCACTGACGACCAACTCGCCGCTTCCTATTCGGGTTCCAGTCGAGCTATGGCTTGGCGTGTGATGTCACTTGATGATGGTTTGTTCTCTCAGAGTATGACCAGTCCACCTCCCTTTCTTCCTGCATATTTTTTGCACTGTTGGTTCCTGCTGTCTTGGTTCACTCCCAGGGATCCTTGTCGCTGATCTTTTCTGGTCACCTGATCTTGAGTAGTATTGAGCGAAGGCATCTGTTGATGAAGGTCTGTAGTTTGTTTGAGGTGCTCTTCATGACGTGTAGTGCAAGTGTCTGATCCGTATAGTAGCACTTACTTCACACTGCATTTGAAAATCCGGATCTTATTTTCATTTTCATGGTGAGTGCTGTTGATCTCCATACAGACTTGAGAGTAATGAAAGCTTGTCTTGCTTTTCCGATTCTTGCTTTGATATCCTCGTCAGTTCCGCCTGTAGTTGAGTCAATGCTTGCAGGTCGGCAGGTAAAGGAAGTTGTTTCTTTCAGGTTCCTCCTATTTATGCTGATCGTTGTCTGTTTTTGTTGCTGTTGGTGTTGTTTCCCAAGAATCTTCATCACCACATCTGTTTTCTCTATGTTCACCTGAAGTCCTATCTTTGATGCCTCTTCTGCCAACTCGTTGCTTTTCACTTGCATATCTTCCAGTTTGTGAGAAGTCAGACATATATCATCGACGAAGTCCAGATCCTCCAAATTATTAGTTTGAATAAAGAAAGAAGAAATATATTTGAGGAATAATACGAGCTCGTCTTATTTCGTAGATTCTCTTCAACTGCGTACACCCTTAACAATAATAATAATCTTCTTTATTTTAAAACAAACAGTGCTTATAATACAGAATGGAATTCTCAGCATTTGTCACAATATTCCATCTGATTTACTCAAAATATAAATAAAATTAAGAATTAAAACAAAATTAACCAGAGGAATTTAACCACATTGACGGTGTAAAGTGAAAAATATTCGAAGTACAAAATGAGAATAATAATAAATGTGATAGTAATAATAACAGTGAGTTTGTTTCAAACAGTATTGCCGATTCCGTTTGAAAGTTTTAGCACGTTATAGAGTATTGAATCTGATGTTCAGTTGATACAGTATAGTGAGGGGAAATACAAAATTAACAGTTATAACACAGTTTAAATGATGTTCAAACTTATGAAAAATAAACAAATAAAAACAAAAAATTGAGAGGATTATAAATATAAGAAGTACAATAACAATGAGATGTTGTAAGGGTGGAGGAAAATGGTTTATTTAATAGTGCAAAAAGGTTAGTTAATTCATGCCTAACACTATTTTCATCGCATAAAGTACGTGCCAAATATGGTATAGTGGAATTTTTATACTTAGACGTAGGTGCATAAAGTCTTCTGAAAAGACTTCTTGTTTTACCTGAGGAGACACAAGGTTGGAATTGGGGGTAGAGTGGGTGCTCACAGTCTAACAGAATTCCTTTAGCAAATTTATTGCATGAATTCAAATGCCTATCAGTGACAATGTCAACGATATGGCCTAATGGAATACCACTCGCTCTACTGACTGACAGTCTTCAGAGCTCCACGAAGCATACGATGCAGCCTTTTTTAAGCAATCCAGGGGAAAGAATAAGGGTGAATAGAAAAGAAGAATAGGTAAGATGCACGAGTTGACAAACTAAGAGGAGGGGTTGAGTTATGCCTGAATGCCATAACTTCTTAATGTAAATTGTCAGACGAAATCGCTAAAACATGGGAAGACCAGGATAGGTTAGAAGAAAGAATTAATCCAAGATACTTAACTTCAGATTTGATTTCTATATCAATATCATCAATTTTGCAACGGTCGTAGGAACCAACAGCTTTATTTAACTTTCTTTTACATCGGAAACTGAAATTAACAGTCTGACATTTGGAAGGATTTAGTTTAAGACCATTAGACGAAGACCATTTGCTAACTCCTGATAGAAAGCTGTTCATCTTAGTACAGTCTAGCTGGGATTTAGCAGACACTGAAATAGCTAGATCGTCCGCATAGTTAACAAAGTTCATTTCAAAACCATCTATAAGCTACAAAACTTTTGACCATGCCTTTTCCATAGTGACTTCGAGTTATACATAAAAAGTATAGGCAAGATAATTACAAAGATGATGTGAGCAGACGAATTATTCAGTGTTTATATAGTAGTTGGACAGATTACAAGATAGAACAACAGACTGAATTTATGCATATTATGATGGAGAGTTCAACGGGGGGTGGGGTGAATAGTGAAGTAAAATTATAAAATGGATAAAATAATTTAATTTAGTAAACTTGGGAACTTAATACTTTATGATGTCTATTACTTCACCATATTTTGAGGGCTCTTGATAACAAACATTTCACTCAGGGAACGTTTATACTGTATAGGAACAAAACTGATGAAATGAAGATGTTGTCCACTCAATGTATAGAAATAAATCACTTAATCGTTCCGTCGTCTCTCCTTGAAATATACAAGAAACCAAGTTTGTTATTCAATTTGAATTCGGAATTCACCCGGATATTTGGATAAATATGATTAAATAGAGTGATAAAGTTTTCAACAGACTTGCTATTATTATCAATAATGAGAGTATCATGCACACAACGTCTATATATCATAAATTTTCCAAGCATACCTTGCATTTGTTTCCCCTGTTTAGACATGAATATATGTTATAATAACATTAAAGGGTAGAAATGGTTACAACAAGTGGATTACTTAATGAATAATTTTACAAAAAAGAAGAGTAATTAAGGAATAAATGAGTGCTCAATTTGACTATGTAACATTCAACTGAAGAAAAATGAAACGATTTGGACAAATGATAACACGTAATTAAAGATGAAGTAGTCAGAAAAATAATAAAATAATTTAAAAAATTATAATTTTTATAAATTTTAAAGGTTTAAGGGGAGAGGCTCGAAGTAGTCCGGTTTATACATTCATGTAAGGGTGGCCAAGGTTAGGAGAGTGGCTGAACAAATTCCTCTCGAACACAAAGGTTTGGCTTCTTCAGGTGGATTCGTATGGCTCCAGCCGTATTTCGAAAAAGAACTCGTAAACCAAAATTAAGATTAGTTGGATCGTGTTTGTCCCTTCCTCAACTATGCAGGATGACGTTCAAATTGGATGAGGATCTAATTGAAAAGCAAATATTTCTTTGCTCAATCCTTTTGCTTTCTAAATGTCCAAATGGGAATTTTTTTTCTCGATAATTAATTTTTCAGTGGTTCAGTGATCGAATACTGGGCAACCACGCATGTGGTTCTGGTGCAACTTCCTCGACACCAAAATAAACGTAAGGCTTAAATTAATAGATAAAACTGAGTTAAACAAACGTTCAACCCATCTACAGAAACTTTAAATGTTTTAAGATTTTGTCTTAACAGGTTCATATCCGACTAAGCTTAGATGCTATTTTATGCTCCTCCTTACAGTCAGTAGTGCAGCAATACTAATCAGAAAAGTTCTAAAATCCTTCCACCCCCCCCCCCACCAATAAATTTAACGTCTTTCGCACATCATAATACATTCATAAATAACTGAGTCTTTTCGATTTGTGTTATATTAGGCGTACATACGGGTCACGTGTTGTTCTGATCAAGTGGGCTTAATTAGATATATTACGTTTAGTAGGGCTGGTATAGTGTAGCTTATCAAAATTGCAATAAATACCTGACATGTTCCACTTTCTATTATCGACTGAAACACTTCGAAACCTCGCCTAGTTTACTTGTTGGTAGTACGCCGAGCAAAGAAGAGAGGCTACCGTAAAATCAATACAACTGCTACTGAAAATTTTGAGCTTGAAGCCTCGTACTCCACTGAAAACCCAAGGGATGAAAATAAATTAGTTTATTTTCATGTGTACATCAAACGAATAGTTCATCGATTGTCTAAAGACAGCCGCAAATGATGCAAATCACAGAAAAAAAGGGTTTTTATGAAGCCTTACAGAATGGGAGATTGTTATCAAAGAATCTCCTGAATTTATTATTAGTCAATTATGAAATATTTCTCTGAAAAGACTGTGGGAAAATATAGCCAGAAAAGAGGATGGCACAATGAGAAGAAGTGTTTATAGAAAACCTACATCAACGGGCCAGTACACACATTTTCTCAGCTTTGTGCCCTTGAAATACAAACGCAATCTAATAAAGTGCTTGGTCCACAGAGCAGGAGAGATTTGCTCGGATGAATGTCTTGACGAGGAGCTTAACATTATTAAACTGTTGCTAAGTGAGAATGGTTATCCCGAAAAGTTTATTGATAAAAATATGAATCTAAAACCAAAACAGCCCAAGTTACCAACAGTTCCAGAAAAGGCCTTGTTCTTACAGATGCAGTTCCTAGGAGACAACACAAGTGAGATACTAACACATCGCCTTAGATATGCGGTAAAAAGAGCATTCCCTGCTGCTGAATTACACTGTATCTTTAAATCCACTC